CAATCACCGGGTCCCGGCGATTGAGGAGCATCACTGACGGAGGGAGAGAACCGTATGTAAACAATACAGTGCTCTCCCCTGTCAGCTCCTGCACACTGCTTTGCATGGCTCCCACCTGTGCCCAGCAGTGCCACCCACCTGTGCCTAGTAGTGCCACCCATCAAAGCCTCCCATTGGTGCTGCCCAGCAGTGCCCATCATTGCTGCATATCAGTGCAGCATTATCAGTTCCACCTAACAGTGCTGCCTATCCATGCCACCTCATCAGTGATGCCTACCAGTGCCCATCAGTGCTGCCTATCAGTGCAGCCTCATCAACGCACATCCAAAAAGGAGAAAAATTGCCTGTTTGCTAAATTTTATCATAGAAACAAAGAAAAGCTTTGTTTTTTCTAATTTCTTGTTGTTTTTTTTTTTGTTTGTTCATAGCACAAAAAATAAACCTGCCCTAGATAATTGTTTTCTGTATGGCCACAAACCAGTATTAAAGGCCAGTCTGATTGTCGGCACACATCGGGGTTGGGGGTGCATATATTTATACAGCATTTTAGACTAATAATTTTTTATTCTATTCCTGGAAGTTTGCACAAATGGTGAGTGATAACTTGGAGGCTATTCATCAGGGAAGAGACCCAGACAAAGACACAGGTGCTTATATCTTATATCTTGATAGATGGATGGGTCCCTGTCCATAACTGCATTTCCTAGCCCCATGGAAACTACCGCTTTTAGGATGGTCTAATATTGAATAAAATACAGCCTGTGAATTTCCCAGAGACCAGCACTTTCATTGTGGCTTGCAGCACATTCCTAATTTTATACTAATAAACTGTGTATTAGGTGAGTGCACAGGAGGGTTCCCTCCTCTGTGTTTGGGTGACAGGGCAGTTAATCTGCCCACACAGGATAAAGCGACAGGTTCACCATAATGCAAACCTCCACAGACATCTAGACTTTCCTGGTTTTTGCTCCCCAGGCAATCTGTTCAGCTGGAAGTGAAAACAAAGCCCTGAAGGAGTGGAGTTTGTGAAGTCATGACTTACAGAGGGTTATGGATCCCCCTGTTACACGCAGATTGCCCCCACGCTGTCCCGTGCTCTTCTTTACTTTGAATTGCTGGGTGTTTCATTTGCCTCCTGGTGCTTAGTGAAGGATGGGAATTGCTGGGAAAGGAGAGGGATTACAGCAAACTTATTGATTTTTTTTTTTCTTTTATAATCAATAGGTTATATTTAAAGTGATTCTAAAGGTTGTAATTTTTTCTTTATTAGCAAACCGCTCCGATCGTCTTCTTTTCACGTCCCCTTCCGGAGGTCCTGGCTCCTCCCTCCCACGACTTTGTCCATTCACATCGGCTGTGATTGGCAGCGACTGGAGCCAAAGTAGAGAGAGAGAGAGACGCTGCTGTCATGTGTATCGTTGAATGAAGATGGGCCTCAGGTAAGTGTAAGGGGGGAATTGCACCCAGAGGGCTTTTTACCGTAATGTATAAAATGTATTAAAGCAAAAACCTTTAGATCCACTTTAAGAGGATCTTCAGTCAGATTTTCCTAAATTAAAAGTCAGCAGTTACAAAAACTGCAGCTGCTGACTTTAAATGAACAGACAATGACCTGCCCAAAGATCCAGCGCTGTCCTCACCTGGACCGATTCTTCACCGGTCTTCAGGTCCATAGTGACAGCATCTGAACTGTGGGCAGCTGGCTGTGCTGCTTGCGGCTTCAAAGCTTGCTGCCTTCTGCTCATGAGTGAGCCGTGCTGTGCTTTTTGAATGGTCCCTCAGTCTTCTGGGACCTATGACGTGTCCCCGAAGACTGTGCAGGGAGAGGGGGAGGAGAACTTCCACTTAGATCCCCACCCTCCCCCCCATCCCTCTCTCCCCAAAAAAAATAATCCAAATAATGGCTGAGGAGGGAGAAGGAGGAAGAGCGGAGCCTCCGTTTTGGTTTAGGTTCTGCTTTCTAGTATATTGGCTCTTAGTGGAGGTGTAAAGGTAACACAGAACAGGGCTTGTAGAGCAGAATTATACAGGATTATGATCATTTGGACAAGGCTAAAGGAAACCTAAAGTAGGACATTTTCTGAAGTGTAATTTGTCTTTGCTCTCAGGTTATGCATTTTTCAAAAGAATGAAGAATAACAAATTTGATTCTGCCACACAAAACCACACAGAACTGTGGACCAGTCTTCACCCATCAGTAAGTGATTCATTCAGATGCCCAAAGTGCTTAAAAATGGCGTTTATTATTCCTTTTAAATTCAGGTCCATTGAAGGACACTGTTAATGCCTACAGCATACAAAGATATTTAGAAAATGGTTTCCTTCCCACCTTGTTGCAGTTGTTGGGGTAGGCTATTTTCTGTTATAGCCTCTGTTCTCAAAGGCGGGTCCATAAAGCCATGGTTTAGTGTGGAGGAACCAGTGGTCTGAGCAGAGCCCTGACCGAAACTGAGCCCCACTGAATGACTTTTTGGATGAATTGAAATGGCCACTGCGAGCAAGGTCTTGTCCAACATCTGTGCCTAACTTTATAATTGCTCGTTTGATTGAATGGGCACATATACACAGATGCACTCCCAAATCTTGGGGAAATCCTTCCCAGAAGAGAGCGCAATATGCTTTTTTATTTTATCTTGCCATTAACTGACACTGATACTAATTAAAAAACCCTGACCAAAAAGCCCCCCAAAATACTGACCCTTGACCCTGACCTTTGGCCCTGGTCTTAACATTTTGACCCTGACCTTTACCCAAACACTAACCCTGGCACAAACCTAGATTAAACCTTGATCTAGGTATTTTTGTTTATTTTTTAATTATTTATTTTACACACACTTTTTTTTTTTTTCTCTCTGGATGGACAGAGTGAGAAAACAAGGGGGGGCTGGCTTCACAGTGACTGATCACCGTGATAGCCACTGTGATAACCAATCAATGGCTATCACAGTGATCAGGTGACCCAGAAACGAGAATTCCGGGTCCTGATTGTTAGAACTGGATAAGGGGCTCTCCGTGACACCCTGCTCTTTGTACTGGGAGCATGTCGTGCGGCGTGCTTCCAGCAGAAAGACAGGTACGCAAATTAGCAGCCCATGGAAAAAAAGCCCAGTTCTGTGACGCCGCTAATTTGCATGTGGTCAGCATCCAGGGGTTAAGGTCCATCAATTTGATGTAATGCACGCTGATTTAGCTGTGATGATCAGGTGTCCATATAGTGTGTGATGAATTGTATCCTAATAAGATTTCTGTGCTAATATCCACTCTTTAGGTTTGTAAGGTATATTCCAGGACCTACCTTGAAGTTCTCTGGCCATTAATGATAGCCTTCTGCATGCTTCACTAGGTCAACTCACTTGTCCGTAGGGTGGATAAAAATCAATGATTTTTTTTCTAAAAATCAAAAAAAATCTGATTTTTTTTTTTTTAAAAATCGGATTTTTTTTAAATAAAATGCTTTTTGAGGAAAATATATTACCATCCAAAGATTATTCCATCATGAAATAAAGATTAGTTTTTTAATTATGTAGAATAAGGCTGTATATGTTTAATTTTTTTGGTAAATAAATTCCATGAATCCATTCACAATGTCATGATCTTCCAGAGGTTTTTGTAAGATTATTGGACAGTTTCTCTGCCTACAAGATATTATCACAGATGATTGGTTTACTTTGCAGTTCTCAAAACTGAATTTGACTCAGTGGAGATCACATGCCTCTTCACAGCAAAAATGTTATAACATGAACAGAGTTAAGAAAAAGACCTTCATCCTAACTTCTACAGACCTATGAATACAGAATCAACCCCTTCAGTGCTAAATTTCAAGAAGTTCAGTGAATAAAATAGAAACAATATTTTTCTGATTGTTTGGAGTGGAATAGATCTGCACAAGAAGAAAGTGAAACAAAGTGTGAGGAGGAAGGGGCTGACAGTCGAAGTTTCTTAAAATATATATATTTTGTTTAGCCAAATTAGTTAACAAACATGGATGTTTAAGCAAATAATATATGCTGGAATGTTATTGTTTCAGTTGAATAAATCTATTTAAATTGTTATTATTAAGGTAATGATTATTTTTCTCCTTCCTAAGTACAACAGAAAAGTTGTCCAAATATGAATGATTAACCTATTAAACTGGGGATAAAAAGTTAATATGAAAAGTTGTTATTCTAAAAATCTTCATCTACTTGCATATTAAAGTTATACCAGCAAGAATTAGTCTTTATGTAGAAAACTAGGATTTAAATCAAGCCTTACTGACTAGTGATTTAAAGCGTGATTTAAATTGTGATTTAAATCAGTTTGATTTAAATCAGATCCACCCTACTTTTCCCTGTTTTTTGTAGGGATCATTTGTGGATACAGAAGGTCAGTTGGTGATTTTTCCCAGAGTTTGTGGTTTCTGTGGCGTAACCAAACATTTGATTTGAATGTATAGAGTAAGCACACCACATAGCCAAACTGCTTTAGCAGTATGTTTGTATTAGGCACATACAATACATACAATCACCTAGCAGGTACAGAAAACCAAGCATGTCATCTAACATCAAGCATAATACAACAATGATGTACACTTCATTGTTGAATAACAGCAAAAAATATGAATCCATATAGGTGCAATGAGCTACACCTAAAGTCTGAGGTAGGAGGTTCTAGAGAAAGCGGGTTTTTGGATCCCCCTCGGACACAGTGGATCACTGATCCACAGAAAGAGCCGAAGATGTCGGCTCATTCATGTGATCAGCTGTGTCCAATCACAGCTGATCACATGTAAACAGGGAAATGCCGGTTATCTGCATTTCACTCCTCTAGAGCTGTCACGCTGACAGCTCGAGAGGAGAGGAGAGTCTGTAATCGGCATTCCATGGAGGGGAGATGTACACTGATCATCAGAGCACTGATGATCAGTGTAGCCCTAGCAGTGCCAACTGTCAGTGTCCATCAGTGCCCATCAGTGCCTACCAGTGCACATCAATGCCACATATCATTGCTCATCTGAGCTGCCTTTCAGTGTCACCCATCAGTGCTACCAGTCAGTGCCACCTATCAGTGCTGCCAGTCAGTGCCATATATCAGTGCCATATATCAGTGCTGCCTTTCAGTGCCCATCAGTGATGCCTGTCAATTCCCATCAGTGCCACTTACCAGTGCCTCCTCATCAGTGCCCATCAATGCCACCTATCAGTGTCCATCAGTGCCGCCTATCAGTGCCCATCACTGCAGCCTCATTAGCGCACATCAGTGAAGGAGAAAAATCACTTATTTACAAAATTTTATAACAAAAACTAAGAAAAAATTTTTTTTTCAAAATTTTTTGTGGTTTTTGGTTTGTTTAATAAAAAATAAAAAACCCAGAGGTGATTAAATACCACCAAAATAGAGCTCTATCTGTCACAAAAAAAATGATGATAAAAATTTCATATGGGTACAATGTTGCATGACCGCGCAATTATCATTCAAAGTGTGACAGCATTGAAAGCTGGAAATTGGCCTGGGCAGGAAGGGGGTATAAGTGCTCTGTAGGCAAGTGGTTAAGTGTAGCTCATTGCACCTATATGCATGCGTGTTTTTGCTGTTATTCAGCAATGAAGTGTACATCTTTGTTGTATTATGCTTGATGTTAGATGACATGCTTGGTTTTCTGTACCTGCTAGGTGACTCTATGTATTGTATGTGCCTAATACAAACGTATTGCTAAAGCAGTTTGGCTATGTGGTGTTCTCACTCTATACATTGAAAACGATTGTGCTTACACATTGATCCACTGTTGAGAGGTTTAAGCACCCTAAATATTATATTGCTTGTTGCTGAATGGTGTAGTTAATAGTGGTGTGCAGACCTTTATTGCTGATTGACCACCCATTTGATCCTAGTAATACAGTTTGTTCTTCTGTATATTTTGTAAAATTGCATATTACTGGTATTGTAAACCAGGTACAAAACTATGTTCAAGAAATAGTAAAAGCAAAATAACAAGGTGAGCAAACACCTGAATTATTCATAGCACCCTGAGGAAACCGATTTACTTGTTGGCATGTGAGCGCTTTAGATCAAATTTTTGCGTAATGGTTTCTTCTAAAGAGTAACTCTACTTTAGTTGAGGGGAAAAAAAACAATCCACTCTGGGTGGTCAATGTACATTGCGGGTATTTTTATAAACTTTTCAGATTCCTACCTGTTTCTTTTCTGATGAAAAATCTGCATGTTTGAGCATGTCAAAAGTGAACCGGAGTGGCAGTGAGCGTTTCATTAATAACTAGCTAATGTGCTTTCAGTGTGCTATTAAGGAAGGTTGCAGGGTAAGCATCCCTTTAGAAGTAATTCATTTTTTTGGAGTATCTTGTTTAAAACTAAATTTTGTTGCAGAGGATTCCTAAAATCTGATTTGTATCTTAGTGAAGACTTCTGGGAAAATCTGCGAGTCAATCATACAAGCAGGAAATTATATTTCTGGGGGGGAGGGGAATTACAGTGCTGTCAACTGAAAAGGCAGTTTTAATAACATTCATTTACAATATGGCTTGTGTAGTGATTGTGTATATCCTTTTAGTTTTTCTATCTGTATCTTTTTTTAAATATCTTATATTTTTTCTACATGCAAATGCTATTGTTTTTCCCACTAAAGTGGAGTTGCCCTTTAGAACAATACAGCCTACATACTGTAGACATTGTCATTTGGATGTAATGGATACTTCTACCTTTTGGAAGCATAAGAAAATGTCATATAAAAATAAACTTCCATTGATGAAACTCCATCTCCAGCTCACATTCCCACTTTGCAGTACAGTATGGATTACAGCACAACCATTCAGACAGTATGAGGACATAAAGCCAATATATAGTCTACTTAATTGGAATTAATGCAACTATTTCCCTAGAAGTAGGGCTTGTTCAGGAAGAAGGTCTTACAATGCAGTATTGACACTAGCAGTGTGAATGAGGCCTAAGGGGAACTGAGAAATCTGAACATCCAGTATCAAAGGTGCACAAATACAGAAATACTAAAATCAAAATATGCTAATAGGTATCAAATCCACTTCGCTTGTGTGGATGGAGGAATCTGTATGTTTGTGAGAGTGTTTGTGTGTATATGTACAGTTTGTGTGTATGTATGTATGTTTTTGTGTGTCTGTGTGTATGTATGTATCTTTCTTTGTGTGTGTGTATATATATATATATATATATGGCTCAAAAAAATTAAAAGAACACTGAAAATACATCAAATTTCATTAGGGGAAAAATCTCTTGCTGGATATCTATACTGATATGGACTGGGTAATGTGTTAGGGCATGTTCCTAATGAGACGCCAGATGGTGTCCTGGGGTATTTCCTTCCAGATCTGGACCAGGGCATCACTGATCTCCTGGACAGTCTAAGGTGCAACCTGGTGGCATCGGATGGAACGAAACATGATATGCCAGAAGTGTTCTATTGGATTTAGGTCAGGCAATCGTAGGATCCATTCAGTGGTATCAATTCCTTCATCCTCCCGGAACTGCCTGCATACTCTCCCCAAATGAGGCCAGGCATTGTCGTGCACCAGAAGGAATCCAGGACTCACTGCACCAGTGTAGGGTCTGACAATGGGTCCAAGGATTTCATCCCGATACGTAATGGCAGTCAGGGTGCAAGCTGGCGGCGTTGGATTGACCAAACATGATATCCCAGAGGTGTCCCAGGGTGCCATTGTCTAGCCTCCTAGAGGTCTGTACATCCCTCCATGGATATCCCTCACCAGACCATCACTGACTCACCACCAAAATGGTCATGCTGAACAATGTTACAGGCAGCATAACATTCTCCTCGGCTTCTCCACACTCTCACGTCTGTCACATGTGCTCAGGGTGAACCTGCTCTCATCAAAGCACAGGGCACAAGTGGTGGCCCTGCCAATTCTGGTGTTCATTAGCAAATGCCAATCAAACTCTATGGTGCCGGGCAGTGAGCACAGGGCCCACTAGAGGACGTCCGGCCCTCAGGCCACCCTCCATGAAGTCTGCTTCTGATTGGTCAGAGACATTCACACCAGTGGCCTGCTGGAGGTCATATTGTAGGGCTCTGGCAGTTCTCATCCTGTACCTCCCTGCACAAAAGAAACTCCTTGGATCACACTCCCCAATGTTCCGAGACCCTTTAATATTAATAAGTGGGTCTAATGTGTTTTTTTTTCAACAACACTGCTTTTTCCTGGGTGTGTGTGCTTCTCCCCTTTAAGGGTCCTCTCCAAGTGGTGGATTACCTCTTCATCCTCTGCTCCTCCACTTCAGGGTATACAGGTATACATACCATTTATATGCGAGGGAACCAAAGAGGAGACTCCAATACTTATATCGCTTTATTTTTAAAAACCGCAGAACAAATATTGCACTTACAGCAATGCATGGCTTGTATTAGCACACAAGCAGAAAAACTTTGACGTGTCTGGTATGCTCCTGCATTCCAGGGACCGTGAATGAGGTACCGGAAGCGTCTGTTGCTCACTCTGCTGTTTTTTCTGGAGTTTTGGATTTGTTATAATTATGCTTTTATTCTAATAAATTTATACCTACTATACTACACTATGGGCATTCTCTATGGTCTCCTGTAAGGAACAATTTATTTATAGAGCCCCCCCATGATCCAGCCAACATAGTATCCAGAGAAGGGAGTCCTTTAAAGCAGGCTTCTACACCCGTCCATCCCTTAAAGGGATCTCTGGCCAGCTGGACCTTATTCCTTCCCGTGAGCTCCTGACAAGCACCACCATACCCAGAAGGAGGATTGGCCCGGACTAGGACCCTACTCAACCTCTAGAGGAGACCCCTGGAGTGATATTTAATGCGTATTTACTTTACGCATCTGGTGAGTGCGTAATTTTACCACACGTTTTGGAGCACTAATTGCAGATTCTACAACTATTTTGCACCTAGATTTGCACAGACTATCACTTTATTGGCATGCTCATGAACATTATTACTTTGTGTTTTTAACGCTGCACCTATTTTAGCCATTATATGTTATTGAAGGTACTAGTTGCCTTTGGTGTTCTAGCTACTTAGCTGCGAGCGCTTGCTTTGTTTCACTACTGTAAATGAGGTACCGGAAGCATCCTAAGAAGCTTCACATGCATAAAGGATTGTGAGGGAGGTGAATTGTAGCACCCCACCTATTGCACATTTTTCCATGCAGATAATGTCCTGGCTGGGATTTAAACTGATACGTAGTCAGTACATACTTCCCCTCATACCCACATCGCTCTGACCTGCCTACTATGAATTGTGAAATATCCAATAATTATGGTTATTGGGGAACTCTTCACACTCCCTTTGCCTTGGAAATTGCAGCACTCAGTGCCTCAAGTGACCAATTGCCAAGCTCTAGTGGTGTCATGAGGGGAGGTGGGGGGAGATATTATAGCTCTTTATTTCCACTTTTCTGACAGTGGATCAGGTGGTAGGGAAGGGGGGGCACAGAGAACAAGGAGACTGCACTGCCCTTTCCCTGCGTGCATAGTATGTTCACAATTTCAGTTTCTCTTTAAAACCCTCACTGCACTTAAAATATTTCTATAATAAAATCACTTACAAACACATGCAGGCTCCACTTCCGCAACATCGCCAAGATACGTACCTTCCTTACCCCAGACACCACTAAACTACTCGTTCACTCCCTCATTATCTCACGCCTTGACTACTGCAACTCCCTTCTCACTGGCCTACCCCAGTGCAGGCTCTCCCCACTCCAGACCATCCTGAACTCAGTGGCCAGACTCATTCACCTCACTAACCGCTCCACCTCTGCCACCCCCCTCTGCCTATACCTCCACTGGCTCCCGATTGCCCAACGCATCAAATTCAAACTACTAACCCTGACCTACAAAGCCATTCACAACACTGCCCCTAACTACCTCACCAACCTGATTCCCAAGTACCACCCTACCCGTACCCTTCGCTCCTCACAGGACCTCCTTCTATCTTGCTCTATGGTCTCCTCCTCCCACGCACGACTGCAAGACTTCTCCAGGTCCTCCCCCATCCTCTGGAACTCACTGCCCCAATCCATCAGACTGTCACCTTCCCTCCTCACCTTCAGGCGCTCCCTGAAAACCCACCTCTTCAGGGAAACCTACCCCTCCCTCACCTAACAGCCGTTCTCCTTCATTCCTCCACAGCCACTTCCTCCTGTGCCACTATCCCATCCCTCCTAGATTGTAAGCTCGAAAGAGTAGGGCTCTCTAACCCCTCGTGTACTGTTGTTGTTGCTGTACTGTTTCATGCATTGCCCCCCCTCTATTGTACAGC